GCCCGCCTCCCAGCAGCACCTCTCGGTGCCCCCCCCCCCTCCACGTGGTTTAATTTGCGCGAAATGTCACGTGCAGAGGCTCGCAATTTGAGGAGGAGAGGCGTTCGACGCGTGGATGACGAAATAAAACAGAATGGGGAGTGGAGGGGGGGGGGGTCGCTAATTGCTACGGTGGTATGCGCGATATGTCCCCGCCGTACGTCCTCCGCCGCATGCCGCTGCAGAGGCGTGGAGTGGCGTGGGGAAGAGACGAATTTCAATTTGCTGATGGGTCCGCTGCCTCTGCGGAAGGGAAAGGGAGTGCTTCACTTCCGTTAGTGTGGCACAGAGAAGGCACCCGCCCGCTCCAAAGTTTGCCCGCGTGGCCGTCCGAGTTTGGCGGCTCAAATAAAATTTGGTCGGGGCGCAGAAGAGTAAGTGAACTGGGGTTTCTCATGGCCATGTGACAGGACGGTGGAAAGGGGCGGAGCAAGGGGAGAACACAGAGAAAAGAGAGGGGGGGGGGGTGCGCCCGCAGGGCTGTGCTCTATCAATACTGCCTCGTTCTCGCCCGCGCTCCACTTCAAACGACCCTCGTTAGCGACACATCCACCACCCCACCACGCCCCGCCCCGGGCATACCGCCCTCGCCAGCTGCCAGCCCAGCCCTACAAACACAGGGGCGTAGGCGGGGAAGGGGTCCCCCCCTCGAGCCTGCGCTCTCTGAATGGCGACTCTCATGAGCTTTCCAGACCTCTCATTTAGCCTCTCTCATAGCTGTGCGACGCCATTTAAATTCTGTAATAACGAGGCAGTGTGCCCGGCACATCTGAGTTCAAAACGCCTACACATCGCACTTGCAGCATTAGCGGTTCTAATATATATTCCAGCAGGGGTCCTAGCCTGGGTCCTCCACCCCAGTAGGGGTGGCCCAGCCAGCCACCCCCAATGCGGGCGGGGGCGGACGCGGCGAAACGGGATGTTGAAACGATTATTGAAAAGGCAAGATGGGCGCCGTAACGACATCGTTTTCGACAAAAACCAGGCCGCCCGCCCCTTCGAGTGTAAAATGCCGGGCATTACTCCCGAAGGGTGCTCCTCCTGCCGCTGCTGCTGCTCCAGGGGGCAGCACATCGCGAACAAAGTGCGTCCTGTCCGCTCAATGGGAAGAATACGGCGCATAGAACGCGCGGTCGGTGAAAAGGAGGTGGAATAAGAAAGCCGGCGATGCGGAGCGCGGCTGAGCCGAGCGGAGCCACCTGCGATTCTATCCCTACATGGCGAGCCTTTGGCCTGCCTTCGCCCAGCCTTTCTTGTCATTTACGTATGGAAGAGGAGGAGGAGGAGGAGGAGGGGGAAGAGGGGGCGGAGGAGGCGGAGGGGGCAGCGGGGGCCCCGACCAGATGGGCCGGGCGCTCTCCAGGCAGGCAGCACAGCCTACACCACACCGCGCCCAGGCGGCGTTGCCAGGTCGGCCCCCCCGGCCCGGCCGGACCGGTACGCCGGGCCGGGCCCAGCACCGCGCTCAGCCTCAACGCCTGATCTGGACCGCACCGCGCCGCCTGGAGACTCCAGCATCCGTTCTGTTTAGGCGCGCGTTTTCCAGGCACCTCTCCAGGTACCGCGGCGACGGCTCTTTGTGACGCCTCGGCCCCGGCTCCAGGGGGGGAGCCCCCGACTCCAGGAAAGGCGGCAGGCCTGGAGGACGGGCCCTCCTCTCCGGGCGCGGAGCAAATCAAAGTCTCCTTGAGCTCCTTGACCGACACCCACTCGCTGCAGGCGGATGCACGGTGCACGGCTCGAGCTGGCGGGGCCGGCGGGGCCCCTCAGGTGCAGGGCGGGGTGGTATGTGTTGGCGGAGTGTGGTGCGAGGTCTGGGCGTGGCGCGGCGTGGCGAGGCGGCCCGGGTCACACCTGCATCGGCCGGCCGCGGCGGGGCGGGCCCAGCCAGAGGCCCAGGCGGCCCGGGCAGCATCCCTGCCAGATGAGCGATGGGGCAGCAGAGGGGGCTCCGACCGTTGCGTTACGAGTGATTCCGATCTCTCCCTCCCAAACCAACCATACATACCTCCCGCCCCGTCCAGTTTCTTTAGGGGCCGGGGTGCTATGGTAACCGCAGAGCCGTGCCATGGGGACCACGGACCACGGGGGCTTTGCGGCTGCCCGGGGCGAGGCGGAGCTCTCGGCCTATGGGGCCTCTCTGCCCAAGGCTACGCGCCGTGCGGCTGGGAAAACACAGCTTATCCAGAACAGCCCCGCACCGCGCCCCGCCACGCCACGCCCGAGCAGCGCGGTGAAAGGGTGCCGCTGGAGGCGGGCGGGCCCGAGGGCGGGCCCCAGCCACACATGCACGTACGCTGCACATGGCGCGGCTGGCGTTCAATCGCCGAACGAAGGGCACTGCGTGGAAACCGTTTCGCGCCGAGCGGAAAGTAAACGTGACAAGTGTAGAAGAGCATGTATACCAGGTGAAGTGGCTGACGACTCCCACGCCGTGCACTTTCGTAGTGTCATACTGTACCGCACGCACGGGTGCGAGCGGGTTTGCCTATCCATAACCTCGCTGCCCGCGGCTCCTCAGGGCCCCGTGCGGGTAGGCAACCTGGCCGCACCCGTGCGTGCGGGAAGGTATAACTGCAAAAGTGCGCGGCGCGAGTCAGCCACTAATACTTTTACGTCTACTTTTGTCACAAGCCTGTACGGTGCGACACCTGGGCCGAACACTATGTGTGATTGGCCACGCATTCGTTGGGCGTGTTGTACCGAGTGTAACTGTGAATACGGAGCAGTGCTGCGGGATTGCATACTCAATATGGCTGCAGGGGCCGAGGCCTCTTCCGGGTGTGAAGAATAGGCAGACCCGCAACACTGCTGCGTATGTATTCACAGTTACACCCGGTACGCACCAGGACACGACGAGCTCGCGCTCACAGGAAGGAAGCTGCCGCGAGGTGCGTCGACATGGGCAGGGACCGTTTTGGATCTATTTCCGAGTCGTTATTCTGGGCCAGCGGCGCGCCGCCACCACGCCGCGCCCGGCCGGGCGCGACCCACCTGCAGCTGCGCGCGGGTGAGGACCACCTGCAGCTGCGTCCGGATCCGGCAGCGGTGCGGTTTGGGAGGTGAAACTATACGCTCGCTGATACAAGGGGCAACACGTTCAAAGTCGGTCAGAGACAGCTGTGGCAGACAGTGGGTCCCGTGGGTCTGCGGGTGCTCGTCGGCGGCTGTGCAGCGTCTGCCTCCTGCGCCAATGGAACGCGGTCGCCTCATTCTGCTGCTTCCGAGAAGCCCGAGGTCCTCGGAGGGCTGTTCGTTCACCCCCCCCCCCCCTTTTCCTCGGCCCGCCCCCCGCCCAATATCCGGCGGGGCTGCGAGCGGCAGAGGAGGGTGTCAGGCAGGAAGTGTCAGCACAGCCTGTTTACCCAATCACACGGCCCTAATGAATTTCGCAACACGGAGCACCGCCCTCCTCGTTGGAGAGACACGTGCAGGGCAGGACCAGGACCTGGGGGACAACATCCGCATGCGTCCGCGCCGTGCACCATCCTCGCACGGCGTAGACTCTTCTGCACAGCCTCGGAGGGGCTCTCTACAGCCTCATAGTCGTACAGCTTCAACTTCAAAAAGGGTTATTACGACGGCTTGCTGAACCCCTTTCTCATGACAAGCGTCGCCGGTGTCGCCCGGGGGAGAGTGCGAGAGAGAGAGGTTCGCCCGCTCTTCGCGCCCGGGCAGTCTCCCCGCGCGTCCCGACCACAAGGTGCAAGGTCGGCGGGCCGAGCGAGCGAAGCGGGGCAGAGAAGCAAACCGGTCGCTCTCCCATCTTCTACGATCTGCGTGCGGGCCGAACCGGCCCGCGGGACAGGGAGAGAGAGGGAGAAAGGAGAGAGGGACGGTGAGCGGGAGTGAGATAGGGGAGAGGGGGCGGGGGGAGGAGGGAGATTCCCGAATGACGCTCCAGCGTTTAAGTCCAACTGTGTGTAGGCAAATTAGGGGAGAAAAGAGGGCAATTTGTGGCGGAAAGCGGTCCGTGGGGCCGCGGCAGAGCAGGAGGACGCCGCTCGGTTTAAAAACCCCGCGGCGCGTCTCACCTGCGCAGCCACTAAGCCCCTGCTGGGCGCGCGCTCTCAATAGCGTGCTGACAGATTTCCCCGAATTCTTAGAGGCGCTCGCGGAAAAGGGGGAAGAGGGGGTGGCGCCTGCGGCCGCGGAGCGACTGGTGACTCTTTGGAACGCAGGTGTCAAAAGTGGAGCCATCTCGCGAACAGCTGCTGAGGAGCCGCTGGGGCCGCGCGCGCGGCGGTGTAGGAGTACCCAGGACCCCGACGAGAGTCTCCCGTAGGTTCAGCGCTGATGGCACCTGGTGGAGGGTGGTCGGTGGGCGTGCGAACTTCGCGGGAACACTGGGTAATCCCGAGAGTGGCAGTCAGCTGACGGACCTGTCACCTGCTCGCCCGACTCCATCATCCACTATCTCTCTTCCGGCGAGCGGAAAGAGGCCGTCAGTCTCCGTCTCTCCGCTCAACCCCATTGAGCGAGCCGATCACAGTTCGCTCAAATGCAGGCAAGGGGTAACCCCCTCGCCCCGGTCCCTCTCCTCCTCCTGAAAAGTTGCGCACTCTATTTCGGTCTGACAAGCCCGCCGTACCGCCGGGGACAAGAGATGGAGGGGTGCGGGGGCGGTGGGAGCCCGAACAGGGGGCGCAGTTTGCACAGGTGACACTTTGCAGCCGAGAGTGTGAGGTTAGGGGGCGTCCACCACCGCGGCGGGCGAGTCCAAGTGATATCGGCGACGTTCCTCGGCCAGGTCAGGACCGCCGGCGGCGAGCTCGTGTGCTGAAAAACGTTCTGCTAAGCGGTAGTGCCGGGCGTCAGCAGGGTGCGCGGAGGGGACGGGGGGCAGCAAGGCTCTCCCGTGTGGCTGCTGCTGGTCGCGCTGCTGCGCGCGGGCTGCTCGGGAGCGCGAAAAACAGAGCGATCAAACGGAGAGAAAGGCGTGAAAAGTGGCGAGGACTTACATCTCCTGGGCGCGGCGAAGGCGAAGGTAATCCACTCTCAGGCCGAGGCCGGCACACGCATCCTAGGGCTTCGTTAGGGTTCGCACTCGCACTACATGCAGGACTGCGCGGATGTTTCGATTCTGCGCACGGAGCGACGCGCGTCCTGGTCGTTCGAGAGCTCTGGTCGAACTAACAGCCGCCGCCGCCCGCCGCTCGGCACTCGGTCGTCGCTCGGGACTCGGGGCGGAGGACGAGGGTGGGGGAGGGGGGAGTGCGGGAGGGGCGCGAACATCGACCCGAGGGCTCCGAGCGGAGCGGCTGCGGCGCGCGCGCACCCTGGCGGACGCGGCTGGAAGCTGGCACCACGGGCGTACGGCGGGCGGGCCATGGCGGGCGGGCTTGAGCCGAGGCGCGGCGCGGACCCACGGAAGTTATGGGCTTATGAATGTCAAACGATTCGGGGGAGGAAAGAGGACGTTCTGGGAGGCGAAGCGAGAGCCCCGAGGGGGACTTGGGTGGGTGTCTCACCCGAACATAAAGTGGCATTTGTGACGGGTGCTCCTTGTGCGACGCCCGTGGGCCGGCTGTTATTGTCGGATTGGTCGCAAAGTAAGAACACGAGTGTTAAGAGGAGGTGGTAAACCTCGGTTTCAATAAAACTAACTAACTGGGCAACACTAAAAATGGAAAACATACCATCCTTCTAAGTGTGTAGGTTGCGGCGAGCAGTTTGTCACGCCCAGCGGAAGCTCTTCCCTCCGTGTAATATTACACTACATTGAGTTTGCGATGACCTGGTGGTTCGTGATGATGTCTCATCACTTCGGCCGCTCTCTGGTCAAAACGGTCGTCTATGGAGCGATGAGTCACCATCGGAGGGGGCGGAAAAGATTAGCTCAGCGAATTTGCAAACAACTGATCCTGGAGTCCGCCGCCGTTTCCGTCGTCAACGCAGCACATTCCGGCGCGTTTCCTACTCTTACAGATCGTTTGTATACATGTTTTTCAGTAAGAAGCCGAATAAAAGTCTAAAGTATCTATGATGCGTAGGAATTGTTGCGTCATTGCGACTGGAGTGTGGTGTGATGGCGACGTGAAGCGCTGCCCGTACAGTGTCTACGGGAGTCCCCTGCAGCTCTGCTGTACCGCATGCAGCCGTGTGGGAGCGTTGCCTACCTACACGGGGTACTGGCAAAAGGTCCCTCCCCCCGTCAACGCCATGGCATGGCATGCGAAACCTTGCATTTACGCTTTTGGTCCAACTTTGTGAGGATTTTCTTCTAACAGCATCAAAAAGAACTTCAAGAGTATAGCTAACCGCCAGACTTTTCCAGGTACTCTTCCTGTTCGACAATGGGTTACGACGACAGCTGTTCTATCGTAAAATTAATTAATTTTGATTTCAAAGTCAAACCGGGAAACCCACAGGAACGAAACGAATTTTCATTTACGGCTTCGTCATAATCGGCCCGCCTCCAACTCCTCCCTTCATCCTCCCCCATCCCCTCATGAATAAAGGCCCAGCGCGGAGGGGTGAGGAGAGAGAAGGGGGAGGGGGGGAGGAGGTGTGATGGGGCCGTAACAGAAAGATCCAAAAGGTGCGTGTGTGTGTGAGCCAAGTCGAATACCCCCTCCCATTCTTCTCCCGCTCCCCCCTTCCGCTCCCCCTCTTTTCCCAACCTTTGCTCCTCCAGCGACCGGTTCCCCACGCCGCCGACGCGATCGGCCCGTGTTCAGAGAGGTGTCCAGGCTGCGTCCGTGTTGCGCTCTCTGTGGTGCGGCCGACAGCCGCCACACCAGCGCTGCCAACGCGGGGGGGGGGGGGGGCACAGCAGGGCTCACAGGACAAAGGCTGCAGGGCTTCTCTTCCAGTGGCCAGGAGGACCTTCTCTCATGGCCCCGCCAGTTGTGCCCTCTCGCCCCGCGCCGCCCCGCGCGCCACCCGATACTACCCGTTGCCAAAGGTGTCAAGTCTGCGACACCTCCGGCCCCTGCGACCGCAGACCACCTAGCTCGCGGGGCTCTGCTGTGCCGCGCCAGCCCCCGCCGCTCCCATCTTGTTCGTGTGGTAAAACTTGTCGCAGAAAAGAGTTGGCGGTCATTATTCCTCTCAAATTTCGAAAACGTAAGTTGAGAACTCTAAGCATAGCCCTTTTCCTAACGAGATAGCGCGGAAAGTCACTTTATTTACAGAGCCTTTTGAGGGTGCTTCTTACATATGCTGTACTTTGTTGCGCACCGAGGCTGAGCTCCCGCGCCCACTATACTCGACTCGTCCCACTCGTTCTCCTCGGTCCAATAAGGGTCCAGCAACGCGTCGTTTGACCGGCACGCGGGGCGCGGCGGCAGTGGAGGAGATAGGGATCCGGGGGCGACGACGACGGCGTGGTTTTGGCAACATGCGGCCCCACCCTCCTTGCTGCCCGGGCCCTCGCGAAGCACGGGAAGGGTATGAGAGGAATGCAAGATGCAAGATGACTCGGCTCTGCTCATGCAGCAGGAAGGAGGTGGAGGAGGTGGCGAAGGAGGGGGCGAGGAGGCGGCGGCTGCGGCGCGGTGTGGCTGGGCAGGGCCGAGGGGCAGCCTCTATCGAACACGGCATCGGGGACGTCTGCAGGCCTGCAGTCCAAACGAATGCTTGTTGCGGCCGCAGCGCAGTGTGCGATACAGTACTCGCAAACGACTCGGGCCGAGTTGGTGCACATGCGGGTGTTTGTTCGGAGGGCGGCGTCCTCCTGGCCCCGTCTCGGCCCAGAGAGAGAGGGGGAGTATGGTTACTATGAAACTTACCATGAAACCCAGGGGAAACGTGATCCAGTGAACCCCACATTCTGAACTTTAAATGAAACTCACAGACAATTTTCAAAATTTCCCCGACACCCAATTTATGTAATGCAATGCTTTTATATGTATTCGTAAACACTCTTGCAAAACTTATTCCTGAAATATTCAAAAACCGCAGAACTTTAAAGTTCTGCGGTCTTTTTCAGAAATTCATAAACACACTTAACGGCAGATGTGCGCCAGATTTACGGTGTAGCCAGAGTACCAGGTAGCTGACTTATATTCAGGGCACCTCAACTCACTCCCTTGTAGTGTACACCAGATTGCCAAGATTACCAGATTATTATTACCAGACGAATATTTTGCTTCTGGGGCATAAACGCCTGTGACTAGAGGTCCTGACAACTTATCTTGACCGAAGAGGCATCCGCACTCGCAAGTTGCTCAATAAGAGGAACAAAAAGAAGGTAGCACTGAGGGGGTGGCTTGGCGTAGTGCCGCCCCTAAACAAAGTAGAACGCCGGCGACCATACTGTGTTTTATCGCGAGTGGATGTGTTATCATAAATCAAGTTTTGTAGAAATTGTAAAGAAAAATTGGGTCCATACTAAAACGGCGTAACAACACAGTGTCAAAGAGTGCTTCTGCAAAGTTTGGCTTCGGAAAAGTAAGTTTATACAATCTTCTAAACCGTCCCGGTGTCGTTGTTTAGGTTAGTGTACGGACATATTACATTGGTTCTATTTTAACTCAGTGATCATGACTCAACTGTCGTAATAAACTTTGCCATAGGTGGTACCAAGGTGCTAGATCCATAGGCCCGTTCTAAACTGTTTGAAATCTAGCGACACGCATCCTAACCTCTGCTAGACTGTCGCTCATCTTCTGCATTGTTTAGGGACGGCACTACGCCACGCCACCTCCTCATCAGTGCTTCCTTCTTCTAGTTCCTCTTATCGGGCAACCTCCTCTTAAACAAAAGCGCAGTTATTTGGCCCTGAAAAGTAGGCAACCGCTGTACGGGGCACTC